TACCTTATTTAGAAGTAAAATGTCATGATGTCTTTTAGTTTAAAGTATCTTCACACACAAAAAAAGACAAAACAAATAAAATAAAAGATGAATAATTATTAAATGTAAGTGGCATATAGTTGTTTGTTATACTATTCTCTACTTTTCGGTAAATGTAAACTTCCCTTTCTTGATACTCAACATTCAATGTTTATCTCCTCCAAGGCTCTTGTTTGTTAGCTTAAACTTTTCATCCCTATTGAGTACCTACTGGCCTCAGTTTGTTTTTCATAAAAATTTCCTCTGGCTTCTAACCCATAACGTTTTGCTTTTCATCTGCAACATCACCTGTTCTTAAGAATCACTCTATAAACGACACATAAGCTACAGTCTAAAAACTGAATCTTAACCATGGCCCATTTGATAAGTTATTAAGATCATTTTCATTACTTTTAATTGCTACCTGTACTATAATTAGAAAAAATACTTGGACTTAACTAATATATCGCATAAACATTCTAGGAAATTAGCTCTTAAAATAACCCAGGACTCAGATGATCACCTTTGATTGCATAAAAAGTCTTCTTAAAAAATGAGATAGATTAAAACAATTACACTTAAATAAACCTTTTAAAATAAAGCATCCTTTCGTCTGAGTTCAGGGAAGAAATACTAACAACTAAAACAGGAGTTGGATTGGTTTATACAGTTGTTATTACTATATATAGAACACTTTAAGACATGATATAAGACTTGTTTCTGGACAATCAATTTTGTGAAATAAAATACTCTTCACTAAGGAAGAGGGATGAATTTAGTTTCCTGTGATTTGGTTGTTAGGGCTCTTACAAATGTTAGGCATTTAGACACACACACAAAAAGACAATTACTAAATGCCAGTCTAGAAAAGTTGAAATAACAACTTTTAAACTTGTAATTTTGGCTAAAAATAAATAAGTTTTTAAAAATTGTTGGAAGGCCATGGGTTTCAGATAAGATTATCTAGCTTTTTTAAAAATGTAGCATAAATTTGAAATGCCTTTTCTTTAAACTTTTCAAAAAGCAGAAGGTAGCATGAGGCCTCCCCACGTCTATATCAGGATGATCTTAAATCAGCAGTTATTAACGAGACATCTCCAGAGTCCCCAAGATCTTTCATGGAGCCCGTAAAGTCAAAACTCTTTTCATAATAATACTAAGATGCTCTCTGTTGTTGCTTTTTACATTGTGTTCACATTTATGCTGATGGTCAGTAAAACTGGAAGAGCCTTAGCACAAATCATAGTACTGGTGACAAATTTTACACCTTCTATGCTTCACCATCACATGCTCACAGTAAAAACAAACACAATTTAAAAAAAATGCTTAGTCTGAATTACAATTGTTGCAAGGAAAGCGCTTATGTAATCGTTTTACTAGTCAGCTAAAATAGCCACTTTTCTCATGTAACCTTGTTTGTATTTGAAAGAATGTATGACAAAGTAGTTTATTCAGACTTGGGTATTTTGGCAGATGTTTCCTGGAAAACAAATTAATAAGGGAAACAACTGACAGTCATTGTTACCAATGATAGAAATTTCAGCAAAAACAAGAATTTTGGAAATTTGTGTCTATCACCATGAATTTGACAACTTCCCAATACATACAGATTTTCTGATGAGCCTACTGATGATGCTAACAAAAATGATTTTTAAGATGTATAATGAAATGTGCCAACATTCTTAAATTCTCAAATAACTCAACAAACTGTTATTTTTCAAATAACCAATTCATGATGTTACAAAATCAGGTTTGAATGCAGAGATCAAAGTACAGACTAAACAAATGGACTTAATATAACAGGGCACAAAAGTCCACTGGTGTGGTATCAGATCCCAAATTGCAATTAACCTTCAGAAAATTGTCCCTTACTGAATGACAACGAAGAATATCTACAATTACCTGAAAAGGCTATTAAAATCTCCTCCATTTTCCAACTAGACCTTTGTGTGAGACCAGATTTCCTTCATACACTTCAATCAGAAAAACATATTGCAACAACTGAGTACAGAGCAGATAGGAGAATGCAGATGTCTTCTAGAAGCCAAACATTAAAAATATTTGTGAAAATGTAAAACAATGTTACTCTTCTCAATTTTGTTTTGTTATGAAAAAATAGAGTTGTTTTTCTTTCTTTTTAAAATATTTTTATTTCTTTCAGAGAGGAAGGGAGAGGAGAGAGAGATAGAAACATCAATGATGATGTTTACTATCCTTACTGAGGATGGAGCCAGCAACCCAGGCATGTGCCCTGACAGGGAATCAAAAGGAGACCTTCTGGTTCATAGGTCGATGCTCAACCACTGAGCCATAACAGCCAGGCAGAAATAGAGTTATTTTTCATAATAAGTATGTTAGTTATATTAACATGTAGTGGGTTTGTTATTACCTTGAAATGAATTACTAAACAAATATTTTTAAATTTTTCAGTTTTTAAGATAGTAAATCTTAACAGGATAAGTATCAATAAATATAATCTACATAATCAAAAGCTCCTTGGGTGTCCTAAAATAAAAAAGTACAAAAGGACCCAAGACTAAAAAGGTTGGAAGCCACTGCCTTAAAGCCCCTGGTCTACAATAATTTTTTTACTAGACTTCCAACAGTGGGGAAAAAATCTGAGCATAAACCTTCAGTATAAGCATAATAATTTAAAAACTAAATATCTGTATCACTAACAACTGAAAGCATAAACATTAGTAAAATATCATTGGTTCCTTTACTTAAATAGGTGGAAACTAAATATATTTACAGCTTCTAACATTTCCTTTTCACACCGAATGTTCCATTTCTCACACCTCGGGCTGAGACCGCAACTTCAGAGGCCCTTTCTTCCCTCATCTCTTTGCATCAACCCAGACATCAAGCTGTTTATGACAGTGGTCACTAACCTTTCGGACCTCATGGACCACCAGTGGTCCGTGGACCACCAGTTTATGACACCCACTGCTTAAATGATCACCACCCCCCTGCCTTTCTGCATTGCCACTGCCTCAGTTCACCTCATCTCTTTTGATCTGAGCTATAGCCTCTCAATCTCTGGTACTTTCCCCACCACTCTACCTTCTAAACTGCTATCATATAATGCTCATCACATCACTTTCCTACAATAAGGTCCAAGCAAAAGTCTTTATCACTGGCCTCTGTTACAACCATACTTTGACAGATTTGCAACTTCCCATTTGACTTGTGCATTCATTAAACAAACCTCCATGAGAAGACTGCACTCTATTTCATGCCTAGGAACATATGAACTCCTGGGATGTCCTCTCACCACTCATTTCCTTTCCAACCTGTGTCCACCTGACCATATCCTAGTGCCCTTCAAACACTCAACTCAAGCCCAGCCAGTGTGGCTCAGTGGTTGAGTGTAGACCTATGAACCAGGAGGTCACGGTTCCAGTCCTAGTCCAGACACATGCCTGGGTGTGGGCTTGATTCCCAGTGGGGTGTGTGCAGGAGGCAGCCAATCAATATATATTAAAAACTGTTAAAGTTGCCATAAAAAATTATGTCATAGAAATATATTTATTGAACGGAAAGAAGTCCATGACAAGTTTTCAAAATATATAAGCAGAATGAACACAACAATCATTTTTTTTATTTTATGTATGTATACATATATATAGTATTTATATGGGTATATAAATAAAAATATAAAAATATATGTATGTTTTTTAAATTGAAAGAAAATACTGTAATATTATGAA